ATCTCTATGATGCTATTTTAGGAGAGAATCATCTTGTGTCAATTCCACATGGAATCGAACAGAAAATTTCTTTGTGATATTTGTTCAGCAATCCAGAGGTGCTTATAACAGCCACTTTTAATTTTACAAAGCAGTTTTCTTAAATTGCTCAGTATCTTAATGTTTTTAGAAGATCTTCCTTGTTCTGGTATCCCTTGCTCTAAATATTCAACTTTCATTCTTCTAAATAAATTTTAGCAGGTTTGAGAAGACAGGATGTGAGAGAAAATTGTGGTAGCTATCAAAATATGTATATAGCTAAAGGAAATATGTATTGAGACACAATATTTGTTGACACTAGTGACTTGTATCAAGAAATAAATATGTGAATACCTAATATAGTGAATAAAGTTTGGCCCTCTTGATATAGCACTATAATTTCTAGCATTCTATATGTTGGTCATATTAACTCAGGCTGTTAAAAACTATAGCTCAACAAATGGAGGACTATACTTTACTAACCCATGCCATGTACTGAAAATGCAATTATCTAATTCTTAACCTAGAAATTTAAAAAGTGTAAAATATTTTGGACCTATAACTTTGATAAGTTTGTGAAGTTATAATATCTACTAAAAAACTTTCTGTAATCATGTTATGGTGTATATATATTCTGTTTTTAAGTATTTTTCATTATGCATGGTGATCAAGTGGTGAATATATCGCCTCAAATTTTTAATTTACCTAGAGGATTAAATCTAAATTAGTTTAATCTGGATACCACTGAAAACAATGGAAAAATTTAAACAAGTCCCATTTATTTCTGTGGGTGTTAATTGCAGTTAAGTGTATGAATCCAGCCTATATATATTGTACAATGTTCATGCAGAAGATACTGTTGTGCTTTTTTTATAAATGACTAAAAGGGGCATTTTAATATAGCATGATATGTCCATTCAACAGTTTTTGACTATCTTAAAACTAACCTTCATAATCTCTTTAATGTTCAGAATGCTTGGCTAAAAACAGTTGTTCCTCTTGCATGTTAGTTACTGATATTATTGAAGTACATTTACTTCGTTTGGCTATGTATGTAATTGGTTTATTAAGTGGTTTTTGTCTTAAATGTTTTGAATAAATGTATTCATTAAATTTGGTTTCATTTAAAATGTGCTCAGATTCTCTCTCCTTTTAATCTATAAACACAAAAACATGAAGACAGCAGTATAGATGGTTGCTGGATCTACAGTAATTTTTGGTATTTTGAGTGGATAGTTTAAGGGTAACAACAATCCTTAGTGGCGAGGGGAAATGGGGAGGAAGAAAAACAAGTGAAATGGCAATAAAAGTATGCTATATCAGAGCCACTAAATTAGGCTGTACTGTTGTATGTATGTATGTATGTATGTATGTATGTATGTATGTATGTATGTATGTAATTTATTTATTGCATTTATGTTGCTGCCTATTCGCCCATGATGACTCAAGGCGGCTTACAGAATATAAAACCATATTTAAAACAATAAAAACTAACAAAAATAATCAAATAAATTAATATAGTACAATATAACAAAATCACTCTCCAACTCCCATCCCTGCCCTGATGACAGATCACATGAGCCATTTAATAGGTTCCATCCCACTCTGGGTTCCCAAGGCCCACTGGCAGAACCAGGTCTCCAGTGCCTTCTGGAAGAGTATTAGACTGAGGGCCATTCTACTCTCTGGGGGAATGATGATCCAGAGAGGGAGCCACCGCTAAGAAGGCCCTTCTGAGTCGCACCAGGTGTATCTCGGGTATGGGACCCACAACATTCCCTGCCTCCACGCTCTGATGGGTCAGGTAGATGTGACTGGCAAGAGACGGTCCCTCAGATAACCTGGTCCCAAGCCATGAAGGGCTTTAAAGGTGACAACCAGCACCTTGAATTGCACCTGAAGGAAATCGGCAACCAATGCAGCTCACACAGGAGAGGTGATACATGTGCACACCGGGGTCTGCATAAAACCATGCAGGGCCGCTGCGTTTTGCACCAACTGAAACTTCCGGATGCTCTTCAAGGGCAGCCCCATGTAGAGCGCATTACAATAGTCAAGACAGGAAGTGACTAGGGCATGGGTGACTCTGAGTAGGGATTGTTGGTCCAGGAAAGGGCGTAACTGGTGCACAACCCGCAGTTGCGCAAAGATCCTCCTGGCCATGACCATTACCTGCTCATCGATCAGGAGTCATGAGTCCAGGAAAACCTCTAGATTATGTACAGGGTTTGTTTGGGGTAGTGCCACCCCATCCAAGACCAAAGATGGTAATTCTCCCTGAGCCAACAAACCCCAAACCCAGAGCCACTCGGTCTTGCAAGGGTTTAGTTTCAACCTATTGCTCCCCATCCAGCCCCTAACAGCTTTCAGGCACTGCAAGAGGGAGGACACGGCATCACTTAACTTACCACAGGCCAAGACATACATCAGCATATTGGTGATACCTCAGTCCATGGTGACGGATGATCTCACCCCAGCAGCTTCATATAAATGTTGAACAGGAGCAGAGAGAGTACTGAGCCCTACGGAAGCTGGTAAAGCAGTGGGCGAGGGCTGGATCTCACCCCTCCTATCAACACTGACTGAGGGTAGCTGCAGAGGAAGGAAATGAACCAGGACAGCACACTTCCATCCCCCGAAGCCGCCTCAGGAGAATACCATGGTCGATATTTAGTCAGCACCTAGAGCATGTTGAGATGCACTGGTGTTGCTATGTATATGGCAATTGACATAAACCCTTAACATAAATATCCAACATATTTCAGGCTACATTATCTGCTTCTTTATGCCAGGCCCAGCTGCCCATTTCAAGCTTAAACCTCTTTTTGTTTTTGCTTACCTGATACCATCAGACAAACTGCCTCTATATAATACACTCAACCAGAAAAGTTGAAGACTTGGCTGTGAAGGAAACAGGGAACTTGATGGATTGCAGAGGCTCAGATTCAATTGTATCTGCTTAGCTATGGATGCTTGGCAGATGATTTGAGCCAATCATTTTCAGACCTATTTCACAGGGTTGTTACTGAGGGGGAAAATAGAGGATGGAGTACTATTATAGCTGCTTTAAGATCCTGGAGAAAAAGCAAAATACAAAACTTGCAAGTAAAAAATAAACTTGAAATTACCACATTGAGACTGAAACTAGAGGTAAGTCAACTGCAGATTGCAGACAATAGAACTTCTATTTTATTATTATAAAAATTTGTATAAAATATATATTTACATACCTGTGTCCAAAGAGATACTTAAGAGGATTTTGCAAATATAAATGTATTACTAAGCATAAACATAAAAAGATACCACTGCTACTTTAAAAATGGGATTTTTTGATTCTCTGAAACCTTGCAGCTCCTTTAAAATGTCTGAATCTGTCCACACTTAATCCATACACAAATTATTTCAATGGGTTTAGAGTAGGCTTTGAAATAAATGTGCCAGCTATTTTAATAGTTATATTTTAATCTATAAAAGAAATGTACAACTTTATAAAGTGGATAAAAATGCTGAACTTTACTTATGCATACACCAAGGAATATGGATTTGCTACTGTTGAAAGGCTTGGAAAATGCCTTTCTTCTGAGGATTCGATTTTCCTCCTGGGAGAGCTCCGGTGCAAGGATACAGACAACTGCTTGAAAGCTGGATCTTTTTATTTTCAGGAAGGCGAGAGATAGCAAGAAGTCTGCGTTCCTGGGGCTAGCTAGCGCTGTATGATAAGCCCCTGATTTTTTTATACCTTTTCTCCTTTTGTGTGTGTGTGCTTGTGTTTGTATTTCTTAATGTTTTAAATCCTGTCAGGGGTTGTCTTCATTTCCGCCGGAGGATAAACTCCGCAGGGTGGTTTGATTGGATTATCAGTTTCGTCCTAGTCTTTTTTTTTTTTTTGCTTAATGGTTTCTTATGTTTGTTTTGTGGCAATCTCCTGTCTGTCTCCTTTGCAATATATTTTGTGTCTTTTGTCTGTTTGTTTTGCTGATTTGGCATGTCTTGTGTTTGTAAGGGTTTTCTTTTCTTGTTTCCTTAGTTTTCTTAATTATTTGGGCTTTTGTCTAAGGGGCTTCTTTAATACCTTTTATTTGATTCCTTTTCCTATGCAAGTTTGTTTTATGGCTGGCTTGATGTTCCCTTTGGGCTTTTCCTGCTTGGGTGACACCACTGTCCTTGTGAAGTTCCCTTTCCACACTACTATATGCCACATGATGATAGAAATGGGACAGGCACAGCACATTGTGCAACTCAATCCCTGGGTACCTTTTGCTAATCATTGTAAGTTATTTGCAGGGTTATGCACTTTATATGCATTATATAACTGAGCTTCAACAATCTGGGCAACCATCTGATAGCACATAGAAACACAGAATATGCTTAACTTTCTGCTAATGATTCTTCAGATTTTTGCATTCAGACATTCAGGCATGATCTAGTGGTACATCTTTTTATACTTCTGAAGGAAGCCTATAGACTCTTAATATTTATGAAATAAACAAACCCTGGCTATTACGTGTCACATAGAGCTGGCACATACATTTTAAACCCTAAAGCAGTGTTTGTCAAACTTAGCAACTTTTAAGATATGTGGACTTTAACTGCCAGAATTCCCCAGCCAAACTGAATCAAAATCAACACAATTGAAAGTTGCCAAGTTTGAGAGACACTGCCCTAAAGGATGTTCTGTACCAAGCAGTTTCTAATTATTTTGACTTATCTATTTAATTTCTTTACAATGAAAAATAGTGAGCTGGGAGGATTAATATGAGGTAAATGAGCTTTGCTCTGGGTGAAAGAGTTTTGTCCAAGGAGCCTGAATTACACCCACGCACAACAGCAGACATCTAACTCTGATCAAGTGGTTACATTTTCTAACGACATATAAGCTTTTTAGTAGAGCACTGAATGGAACTTCTTTTCAGTTGGTGAGTTGCAGGAAGGACAGATTTCAAGGATACACGCATGCGCTATACTCAGGAAACGCTGGGTCTGCAAGGGGAACGTTGTGCAGCATGAATGCAGCAGAGTTGGGAGCTTTTACTCCCGAACAAGCGGCGGCTCCGGTAAATACGGTGGAGGTGAGTCAAAGCAGCGGGACCAAAACAGAAAGCGATTGTAGAACCTGAAGCTTTTTAAACTTGCTGACAAAAAAAAAAAAGAGAGTGTAAATCTAGTTTCAGAGGCTTCTGATTACAGTTTCATTATATTAGTCCTTTTCTAACCCTCTTTTTACTATTGGAGGTTATAAAAGAGCATTAATCTCTCTGTAAGATGAAGCATAGAATAAGAAGTTAGAGTGTTCCGGTATGTATATATAGTATGTATAATACTACATTCCCAAAGCAGTAGTTTTTAATTCATCTCTGCTTTTGACCGTACTTGTGGGAACCAGGTGCTATTCTTGTCTCCCATATTTCTCTTTTGAGAGATCAGAAGCTCTGGAAACTTGACGTTGTTGGAGCTTGAGGAAGCCCAGATAAACCAGCTGTTGCTCCAGCCCGTTTCGCTATTTTCTGTTTGATCGAAGCAGCTTTGTTCCACCACTGTAGAAATATGCTGATGGGTGCTTCAATAAATTTAGATGCTTGTGCATCTCTCACATACATGCACTTTACCTATGACCTTTTTTGACAAATTCCTACCAAAACAAAAAAAACTTAAATGGTATAGTACAGGGGTCAGCAACCTTAAACACTCAAAAGAGCCATTTGGACCCGTTTCCCACAGAAAAGAAAATACTGGGAGCCACAAAATGGCTTTTGACATCTAAAATGAAGATAACACTGCACATATAGTCTTTTACCTTTATGCTATGTATAAAAAATATAGTGTGCTGCATTTATAAAATGAATGAACTGCTACAGAGAAAACAAATTTTTATTTCTGCATGCAACAAAAACATTTTGAACTCCGAAAAAAAAGAAGGGTTGAAAAGCTCAATAAATCGCATGCTGGCAGGTGTCGCATATTGGAGGTTGTGACGCATGTTTGAGTAATAAGGAGCCGCAGCACAGGGATGAAAGAGCCACATGTGGCTCCAGAGCCATGGGTTGCTGACCTCTGGTATAGTAGAGCATTATTACTTCTATTAATGGAAGAACCTAATGGGAGACTTGATATGCCAAAGTAGGCCAATATTTCCAAGAATTTTGGTTTAAATGAGTCAGTATGTTGCTTAATCACTTCTGCTTGATTTTAGGTTTCTGATTCTAACCAGAATTTTTGGTTGACAGTTCATGATATCTTCATGTTTTATTTAGCCCTCTGTTTGACAGTAGGAGCCATTTAGAAATAACTAAGAATTTGAGTTCAACATGCTGGCTCATTTAGAGACAGAAACTTTATTTCAGCCATTGGCCAATAAAAATCATTCAGTAAAACAAAACCTTTAACATCCATGAGTATGGCAACAATTTGTGAGTCCCAGTATGCTAGCTTATTCACAATAAACTGTTAGCTATGTATATAAACAAGATCATCTTATATTTACATTGGCTTTAAGGTCATGATTTAACCAGTTTGCTAAAGTAGCCAGGTTTTGAAGATCCCTACCCACCATACTAAATAGGGAATTCTAAATTTGTGGGAAATCTGAATGAGAGACCTATTAGGAAGTCCAGTTCTTCTTAAATTATGTGAAATAAGAATTAAATAATAAATGAGCTAAACTTGCAATCTTATGTACTAGTATTCATCTAAATCAAATCAAAAGTTCTAGTAGACTGTCTAAATACATGTAGTAATAAATATATCTTAGTACATATTACTATGGATAAAACAATAATTATAAAACTTGATTTTTAAAAAATAAAATATTTTTCTTGAACTTGTGTTCCATATATTTTACTGTTTTGATCTACTTTTGTTTTCAGGAAAAATGGAGACTACTTCCAGCTTTTTTGAAGGTTAGTATAAGTGCAACCAGATTGGAGAAATCTTTTCCCCTTTTTTCACAAAGTAATTACATAAAGTTGCTGGTTTTACTCCGATGTTGTCTACAATAATGAGAAAATACATTGAACATAGTATATTCTTGGTGTGCATTTTGTTATTTTTTTCATCTGGACTACTAATTTTTCTTTCTGTAATATTTTGCATAATTACATCTTCTCTCAAATATATTTTGGAATTAAAATTAGAATGAGTTTGTGTGGGCTGAAAGGTAATTTAACTGCAGCCAATAGAAATAATGTAGTTTGGGTACCTTCCTAGTTTGCATTATTTGTTTATATTATTAGCCATATCTGTATTTTAAAATATTTATTGGTTCAGAAGGAAGATCCATTTTATCCTCTTTTTTGGGGCCAACTAGTTCATTATAAGCAGGGCTTGAGCATACTGTAAATCTTTTCATGTTATTGTACCTTAATAAACAATGTTACTACTCTCCCTGACTCTGGAAGATACATTCAAGTTTTCTTTAAGAAAGGTTTATTATACTTATATGTTGTCCTCAACTTTTATATTTTAAATGTATACAAAGAAACCTAGTATGTGAAGTAATCTAATATGTAATTGTACATAATAGAGGTAAAAATCCATATACTATAATGTACACTATAAAACTAATCTTTACATTGTCAGGATGGCGGAACTATTTATGCAAAACCAAATTCATTTTTTAAGTAAGACATTACGGAAATCCTTCAAGTAAAACTTCAAAGTATTAAATGAGTTTATGCAATTCAAAAGTCCTATATTTTCCTTCACTGAAGGTAATCTTCCTATTTTAGGTAAAAGGACTTGTAAAGCAACATATAGATTCATTCAATTATTTCATCAATGTAGAGGTAAGCAATTTTGTTTTACTGAATATTAAAGCCTATAATATATAGTAGTTCTTGACCTACAGCCACAATTGGAGCTGAGTTTGTTATAAATCATTGGCGTCATAAGTCAGGTTAGATCCAATTTTACAGTGTTTATTGTGGGGTTTAAATGAATCACATTGTTGTTAGAGCCGTGGTGGCACAGTGGTTTATAATGCAGTACTGCATGCTACTTCTGCTACCTACCTGCTGTCTGCAATTTGGCAGATCGAATCTCACCAGGCTCAAGGTTGACTCAGCCTTTCATCCTTCTGAGGTGGGTGAAATGACCCAAATTGTTGGGGGCAATATGTTGACTCTGTAAACCGCTTAGAGAGGGCTGTAAAAGCACTGAAGCGGTATATAAGTCTAAGTGCTTAAGTGCTATTAAGTGAATCCATATTCCCCAATGGGTATTTTTTTGCCAGAAATTGACAAAAGTCTCAAATCATAATCATGTGACCATAGGATGCTACAATTGGTTGTAAATGTGAGCCAATTGCCAAATGCCCAAATTGCAATCACATGACAGCAAGCATGTCGAAACAGTTGTAACTCCAAGTACAGGTTGGAAGTCACTTTTTTAAAGACTGTTGTAACTTTGATTTTACAATCATAAGTCAAGGACTACCTGTTAAGCATATCCTTCAACCTTCTTTCATTCTCAGATAAAGAAAATAATGAAAGCCAATGAAAAAATTACAAGTGATGCTGATCCAATGTGGTATTTAAAGTAAGCCTAAATTTTATTCTGGTTGTAGCTTGAATATCCAACTTCCATGGAAGCTTTTGTTTTATCCATAAAGTCTGCTATGAAATGCTGCAGATGTACAGATGTAATATAATATAATTGATTGAGCTAGGATGGATTAAATGGCAATATGGTTTTCCTACAAATAATGGGTTTTATAAAAAACAGCTTTTTTCTTGCAATTTATAATTTATAAATTTCTTTAAATATTCATAATTAGTTTTACTAAATAGAAATATAATAACATAAAAACATGAACTATATATTTGGCAATTGATTCATATTCTATTTATAATTATTTTTATTGGGTCTTACCTTGCAGATATCTCAATATTTATGTGGGTACTCCAGATGTTGAAGAAAGCTTCAATGTAACAAGACCGGTTTCTCCTCATGAGGTATGTAGTTCTATTCCACACTTTACTTTGGAAATTTTTTGACAACTAGCAAATTAGAGTGAGTTTACAATAAGTTCTCAGTTAAGGGGGTTTGTCTATTAAAGTAGAATGATAGTGTACATAAATGTATGTAACATATTTTTATGCATATATTTCCACAGATTTTAACCATTACGTCTGATATCCGCTAAACCAATTCTACTATAATACTTAGTTTAGTATAATAGTATGGATAGCAATATAGCTATCTATTTTGCTATATAGCAATATAGCTATCTAAATCAATATAGATTATCTATAACTATAGATAAAATCCTAGCCCTTAAAATATGTCTCTGAGAAAAGCTTTGAAGGAGTGTTGAAGACTTTCACATATGGAACATTTATTTATTTTTCTTTTAAGTGTCGCCTGAGAGACATGACTTACTCTGCCCCAATTACAGTGGACATTGAATATACTCGAGGCAGCCAAAGAATTATTCGTAATGCATTACCTGTTGGCAGGTAAGTAACTAATATTTAGTCTTACATAACACATAACAGAAAATAGTTAGGAACTCTGCTGGATAATGCGCACGGCCTTGATCTGAACAGCCATCAAGATTATAACTAGCACGTTTATGGACAAGTACTGTAATACTAGTCATTTTCACCTGAATGTAAAGCAGAGGCATTATATTAGTGTAGCACTTTGAATTTAATCTATCTTAGCATTAGAACACTCAGAATAAATCTATCAGATGAAACTTCTGTCTGTGGATGGGGGTAGTAGGTTGAATCTGGCAAGAAATGCAATGGTGGGTCTCTACCCCCAGGAATAGAATCCCATAGCTAAGGCCGTCTGTAGGCTTGAACTATTCTTTGTGACTATCTTCTTAATCACAGAAACAGTTGTATTGAGCCAGGTTTTTTTTAGAAGTTGGTTACCTTGTGGATGACAGATCCTTCTCAGCCTGACTTTATGTTGAAGCCAAGTACCAACTATAGGCTCTGTTTCTGCTATAAAGAAGTTAGATTTTATATGGGTAGATTTGAATTCATATGGCATGCCGAAAAAGAAAGGGAAAGAGAACCAGTGTGGTGTAGTGATTAAGGTGCTCTCCTAGAAACCAGGAGAGTGCGTTCTAGTTCCACCTGTGACATGAAAGCCAGCTGAGTGACTTTAGGCCAGTCATTCTCTCAGCAAAACTTGCTTCACAGATTTGTGGGAAAAGTAGCAACAAGAAGCAATATTATGTATGTGTACAGCCTTGAGTTACCTATAAAGTAATAAAGGCAATACAGAAAGTGATTAAATAAATGAAAAAGGTGTGAATGTTTCACACACAAATTTGGTGAAATTTTGGTAGTAGATTCATAGACTACTAGTTATTGGCCAGTATGTTATCTATTCAAAAGTTCTTCTCTAAGCTAATTTTGGTGAGCTTTTATACTATTAATGTGGATCTTATGCATTTTAAAAGGCAAAAAAGACTATGCTGGTTTGGTCCTTGGTCTTGTTAGGCTTCAAGGCATACAGTATCTAAAGAACTAAAAGAGTATGCCAGTTTGTACATAGTGTGTTGCCTATTGTGTTTTGTTGATGAGCTGCTAGTACATTTAAAAGCGATATTTATTATACTGGAAAAATACTGGTATTGAGTGGTGGTCAGAATTTTTCATTTTGCTTTTGTAATGCTAATTTATCCTATTCATGCAATTAAGCAGCAGTAGCAGCCCTTCCTTGTTTGCAACCAGCAGCCGCCTTAATGCAATCAGAAAATCAAGGGGCAACAAAGCACAGCTTAGACACTCACTTTTTGTTGGGTCTTACGCATAGTAGAGAGGTAACAAAATCCTCATGTCTATCTGCTATACAAGATTGATAGTGATTGGCTGTGCAACCCAATTTGCATATCTTGTGCATAGTACTTTTGCATCATGTGGTTTGATTGCAAGCAGCAATTGGAGTAATAGGTCTCAAGCTGGAGATCATATCCCAGTCTAGTATGCATTAACATCAGTGGAGAAGAAACAAAATACAATTTGAAAACTTTAGCATGAGTAGGGTTCTCTGATTTGATTAGCATTTTTGGATCTTGAGCTTATGTGAATTGATGGGTAGATAATTAGACCTAGAAATACAATTAAAATTTTTCCTGCAACGTCAATTCTAATATCAATTTACCATGTAGCATTACAAATTTGTTTATCATCAAATCAAGAGTAAATGATTACTCTTGATTCCTACAAATTACTTGCATTTTCTTTCTAATTTTCATATCAGGCAATTTAGGTTAATTAGGTTAATTAATTACTTACACAGCTTTGAATGTAAATAATTTTTTTAAATTGCATATAAAAACAGTTTTTTCTGCTTTCTCTAACTTGTTTCTCTGACATTCTAGTGCCAGATTTGCATATACATAATTTGATTTTTCTGTATTAATTGAATGAATCTTCTAAATTAGCAACTCACTAATTAGGTTACAGATAATCTCATTTATCAGTTGCCTCATTTATTGATCATTTGCAGTTATGACAGTGATGAAAATTTACCTCCATGATGAATCCTTGTGTTTATTACCTTTGTGGATCTATAAAGGAAAGGATAGCTGAAGTAAGATCACAAGCAAAGTTATGATTTCACTTAGTGACTGCTTCACTTGGTGGCCCCAATTGTCACTAAACAAGCACTACCTTTAATTATGTTGCTTCTCTAAGATGATTGGCAATTAAGCTATTTATCTCCAGCAAATAAATAACCATGCTGTCTCAAGGGACATCGTTGAATACCTGAACTGAATTGCAAAGATACATTTAAGATGTAGAAATCAATTCCATAAAGGGTTTTAGGCATACTAACAAATATTTTTAAACTGCAAATAATTATTTTTTAAAACATAAAGTGGTTGACACAGCATATAAAACAACTCCTGCAATTAATGTTAGCAAGTTAATTCAGGTTTTATGATGTGGTAATTTTTTGTATTACTATTGGTGGCGTTACAGGTAAATAGAAACCATACTTGACCCTTGCTTACTTGGCTAAAGAAATTCCTATATTTGCACCAGTGGTAGGATTCAACTGGTGTTACTACCAGTTCATTGACTATGTTTTGCTATGATTGGCTGCCCACTAACATACATAATGTAAACGTAATCCAAGTCATAGCTGATCTATGATAGTTCTTTGCCTTGGCAATAAAATAGAGGGTGTCTCTGTTCATATATAAAAACAAAAATGTTTGTTTATTATCTGTAACTATCAAAAAAGACATTGGTTACCACCATTACTATCTGGCTTACTATTTTTCCAGTGGTATTTAGGTAACCTGTCTGCAAGACGAGCTGATAGACTGTTTAACCTATGCTATTTTTCTTCCTATAGGATGCCAATAATGTTACGTAGTTCCAATTGTGTTCTCACTGGGAAGACTCCAGCAGAATTTGCAAAGCTTAATGAGTGTCCTTTAGATCCAGGTTCCAAATTTATTTTCTAATATTCTTTGCTATTTTGATTAAGCATTGATTCATTTTAAGATAGTAATTACTAAGATTTTGCAATTATGAATTAATGAGTAATCTGAGATTTTGCAACTCAATGTTCTGACCCATGCCCTTTTCCAAAAACTCAAACACAATCCAAAAGGAACAGAAACCTTGTAATGCTTTTGAAAAATAATTAGCTGTGATAAGCACAAGCCTTGTCAACTGTGCAAGATTTGCCAAAAGATAACAGACAAGAAATAATTTGCAATACAAAAATCTTCAAATACGAATTCAGGATACTGGAATGTCCACAAGGCTGGAGTTTTAAAACGTCTTTGCCTTCTGCAAAGTACGTTCGTTTCACAGCTGGCTTTTATCTTCTTGAAAGAGGGGCCATTACCTTGCAGCCTTATTCCTGAGTCGCCCGTGCTGTTGTAACTGCTCTTTCCTACGAGCAATCCTGCGCACACGCGCGTTTGGCAAAGGCTCCTTGGGAACCTCCTCATCACTGCTGCCAGCCCCCACAATCTCTGAAGGCAGCAGTCCACTCCCTAATGGTCCTGGTCCCTCATCTGAGTCCTCGCTTTCCTTAGCCGTCCGCACCTACTGCCGGTTAACCACAACACTCAAAGCTGCAGTAAAAACAAGTATTAAGTCTCCCTTCAAGGAAAAAGCAGCATCATTGGTAGTGGTATTTCATGCGTTTTGCTTGACTGAATAGATTCTGAATCTGAACAGATTCCTGATATTCCTTAAATTTTAATTAGCATATTTATACAGCTGTTCAATCTCACAAACATGTGACTCTGGGCAGCATACAATACAACAATAGTGGGCTCATGTAGGTGTTAAATAGAAATGAAGAGGGTATTGAACCCTGCAGAATCCCATAAAATAAGGGTTAAGGATGGGACCTCTCACTCCCAATTGATTGACTGATACTGACCCCACAGAGAAAGTAAGCGAACCAGCACAATACTCTGTCACCCATTCCCAACCCATGGAGTTGGCCCAGAAGGATACCATGGTAAACCCATGATAAATGCCACCAGTCAAGTCAAGAAGAGACTCTAAAAGAGTGACCAACACTATCTCCATCTCATATCCATATCCCGACTGAAAGGAGTCCAGGTTTATCCAGGGATTTATTATCTTGCTGAGGGTTCAGGAAATTCCAAATGCATATTTCAAAATTGTACAAATCTTAATTAGAATTCAGCAACTGAATAAATGTTCATCTTCTATTTGGTAGGTGGCTACTTCATTGTCAAAGGAGTGGAAAAGGTCATTCTTATTCAAGAGCAGTTATCGAAAAACCGAATAATAGTGGAAGCTGACAGAAAAGGAACAGTTGGCGCATCAGTTACCAGGTAGATAAAAGAATGACTGAATAACTGTCTCTTAAGCTTGATTGGAATTCAGAAAGTTGTTTAAGAATTATTCAAGAACTTGGATATGTTGGGGAGGGTTCTTTTCAAATACTTCCCAACATAATATCCTGTCAAAACTGATAATCCTCAATGTCTTTCATATCCACTTTCATCCTTCAACCCCCCATTTAACATTCACTCACATTTCTCTCTCTGCACTCAATCCACTATCTCTGTCCCTCATTCACTTTTCTTCTCTTCTTCACCACCATTCTCTTTCCTGTTCTAATCAACAAAGATCAGTCCCCTCCATCATCCAACCTCCGGCATGATTATTTCAAAATCCAATTTCGTCACATAGTCTGCCACCAGCTTCTGTTGCTTGGCTTCTTTTTCTGGCTAACCACTGGCCAGTCTCTGGCTGACTATGATTTTTCCTGCTTCCAATCAGTCTTTTTGGCTATTCTTGGCCTGGCAGCTATAGTCAGGAATAGATGCTTGATATGTCCTCTGACTGGGTCATCCTGTCATTGAGCACAGCCAAAAAGAGAGAAATGTAGCTAATTTTCAACAAGAACATATTCTGGGGCTATGAAATTCCAAATACAAGAGGTCTTGACAAGTTTTCCTCTCTCTGAATAAAAAGTATAAATATTAATGCTATATTCCTTTTTTTCTAACCAATACCTAGCTCTACGCATGAAAAGAAGAGCAGAACAAATATAACTGTGAAGCAAGGAAGGTTTTATCTGAAGCACAACACCCTTTCAGAAGATATTCCAATAGCAATAATCTTTAAGGTATTCTTAATAAACACCATAGTAATAATGTTACTGTTAAAAGAACTTCAGAAATTTGATTCTGACTGCAGTTTTCAAAAAAAAATCTGGAGAATGCCTGGATGGAAAGGCTTTCTTAGCAGTGTACTCCATATTGTAGAGTTTGCAAAAAAAACTTTTGTTTCATTGGTTTTGAACACTTTGTACTGTATTTGGACATTGTCAAAATGTTTTCTCCTTTTGTTTCTATAAGAGGAGAACGAAAGTGCAACTGAAAGAAAAAATATCTTGGGTAGATGGAAAAAAAGATGTGAGTGAGAAAGGAGAAAAAATGTAAAGGGATGTGGCATAAGAGTGGGAAATATGATACTCTGATATCTTCCTTGTTGCTTGCCTATGTGTCTTAAAAGTTGACTTACTAAAGCACCAGATCTATTTGCGGTCCTAAAAAGGTGGTAGAGAGTACTACTGGCCTCTGTTACAAGGGTAATTTTTGCCTTTTGACCCATCGGGGCATCCATTTTATGAAGAGTAAAGTCTCCATTTTGTGAATCAGAACAAAAAGGGTTTCCTTTTTCTATTAGAGCAAATAATGACACAGAGGATAACAAATGTTGCGAATGCCAGTACACATTGACCAGATTTTTCAACCCTTTGATTGGAAATTTGTTATTCACTGTTTCTGAGAGAGTTTTAATACTGTTCTCCATTAAAAATGCACCTAAAAGTATATCTTCTGGAATAAAATATATACAAAAAATATTTGAAAGAAAATGAGTATTTTTGTAAATATTTTAAAGGCAGCCTCTCAATTAAATTGAACTTTTGTGGAGCAGCTGCTGGCCACTGGATCCTTCTTAAGTTCATTTATTGTGCCTTGGGAATTCTATAAGGCTTATAGAAATATAAGAAAATTATAGAAATCTTCCATAATCTTATATCCTTTAGATGTGTTCAGATCTGAAAATCATTGCCAGAAGAGGGCAGTGCTTGATTGCAATACAACAACCAAAAATGGATTGGAGTTTGGGAATGCTTTGAAAAGTTATCTTTAGGGATTAAGACTTTTATATGTTTTCTGGTTTTAATACTACACAATTCATTCCTGATAAGAAAAATCTTCCAATTCATTTTGCCAGATCGATTATTTGTTCATATCAGAGAAGGAAATCACATGTTTTGAAAAACATGTAACTTCTTTGTCTCATGTGTCAGTAACTATGAATTTAAATTTTACTTTTGTGCCACATGCTTTATTTTTCATGAAATAAAACATTTCTTAGAGTAGTGTACATGCTTAGAGGATCAAACTCTAGCTGTCTGGATAGCATTTTTAATATAGGAAATTGATATTTTGCTGGCAATAAGTATTAAGACAAGAGCAAGTTGACTGTAGCGTTTGAATGGTACATTATAATAATATAATCCTAGTTATACTGTCATGCTTTGGGTTTGACTTTGCAACACATTTGCCAAGAAATTAATTGTCATTACATTCAGTAATTATTTGAAATAAACGTTGCTGTTTATATTTATATGTGAACTAGAACTAACCTTTAGATAGTAATATTTTTGTATATGGTGATTTGCAGACAAGTCTGTCTGTTTGTCTCTGTTGATTTGTTGATGTAGTGTAAAAACAGGTTACTTGTACTCATAAAATCTCAAACAATCCTGAGCTCTTTGGGGAAATTTGTTAGCAACAGCCCATGTTTTTTGGATGAGTATGAGATACAAATGCTCTACCAGCAAATAAGGATGAAATAATGTATGATAAAATAATTTACTCAAAATTACTGTTACCTGGCACTCAATATGTAGGATTTTTTTAAAAAGAACAATAATACACCTTGATAACTCTTAGAAATTCTTTGAACAATTGGAAGTATTCTCTCTCATACCAGATATTCGCTAATAGTTTGTTGGGGACTAGATAAAAATAACTTTCCATGTTAGGGAGTTTATTTTTAATATGAGCTCTGCCATATTTATTTATTTTATTTATTTTATTTTTATTTATTTGATTTGCCAATTGTTTACAAGATAATAAGTATAAGTGTATACATAGTTGTGAATACATGAAATGGGTACATATAAGAAAAATAAAAGAAGAATAAGAGAAACAATAGGACAGGGACGGTAGGCACGTTGGTGCGCTTATGCACGCCCCCTACAGACCTCTTAGGAAAGGGGTGAGGTCAATAGTAGACAGTCTAAGGTTAAAGTTTTTGGGGTTTGGGGAAGAAACTACAGAGTCGGGTAGAGTATTCCAGACATTGACCACTCTATTGCTGAAGTCGTATTTCCTGCAATCAAGTTTGGTGCAGTTAACTTTGAGTTTGTATCTATTGTGTGCTCTTGTGTTGTTATGGTTGAAGCTGAAGTATTCATTGACAGGTAGGACATTGCAATGTATGATTTTATATACCATGCTTAAATCAGACCGAAGACGGCGTAATTCAAGGTTTTCTAGTTCTAGAATTTCAAGTCTGGTGGCATAAGGTATTCTACAACAAGTAGAGGAGTGGAGAACTCTTCTTGTGAAATATTTCTGGACTTTCTCAATTGTGCTAATATCAGATACGTAATGAGGGTTCCAGACTGATGAACTGTATTCGAGTATTGGTCTAGCAAATGTTTTGTATGCTCTGGTTAGTAGTGTGATATTACCAGAGAAAAAGCTACGTAGGATTAGGTTAACAACTCTTAATGCCTTTTTGGCTATGTAGTTGCAGTGGGCTCTAGCACTTAGATCATTAGAGGTGAGTATTCCAAGGTTAGAGCTTGGGTCTTCAACAAGATCTTGACTATTCAGCTTGTATTTTATTTTCTGATTTTTTTTTGCCAATATGTAAGACAGAGCATTTATTTGTTGAGATTTGAAGTTGCCATTTGTTTGACCATTCTGATACATAGTCAAGATCTTTTTGTAGGGTAGCAGTATTGTCTGTGGTATTGAACAGCTTTACATCATCAGCGAAAAGAACGCAATTGCTCTTAATATGATCACAGAGGTCATTTATGTAGAGTATGAAGAGAGTTGGTCCTAGAACACTGCCTTGGGGGACACCACTATTGACAGGTACAGAATTTGATAGGACGCTCCCAATTTTGACCATTTGTTGTCTGTTTGCCAGGAATGCTTCTATCCAGTTATTCAGTTGTCCAGAGATACCATAGGATTTTATTTTTAGGAGTAGTTTGTCGTGTACCACTGAATCAAAGGCTTTACAGAAGTCTATGTAGATTGCGTCTATTGCTTTGCCCTGGTCGAGTTGTGTTCGCTAGCAAATCATATGAATCATGGCTTGGTGGGTTTTCAGCTACAGGCTGTCCTGAGAGTAGCAGATTATCATGACCATTTCAAACTAGCTTTAGAACAGACTCCAAAGTTGACATTACCTAGGTCAGCTTGATCTTTGAGGATCAATAATGAGAATCTGTTGCTTCTCATAACTCTTTTAATAGCTTTGGGTAGTATTTTTTTCTGGATAGACTGAGACAATTGGAAATGGAAATTGGAAATGAATGGCTTTGTAGTTATTCCATTCCTATCTCACAGGTAAATTTTAGATGGTGTTCCTTAGAGATAGTTGTTCTTCTAAATGGAAGCTATTATATGGTTTGTGGTAATCTCTTCTGTTGCCAGTGCTTTTCAAAATAACACTGCTGGGTATGATCAACATGACACCGAAATCTATTTCTCTGTAACAAGAAATGATTTAGCTCCTCTAAATGCCTATCTGTAGTTACTAATGTGCTGGGCGAGGGATAACAAATTAAAATGGAATCCAGACAAAATGTTGCAAGGAGCCATAATTGTAGGGGCAGGGTGTAGATCTGCTTGTAACTGGGTACATACTTTGGGTTGCTTCTGGATGCAACTCTCCCTGGTTTCCCTGATTGATGAAATACAGATGTAAGATAATTTTTACTGTACCCTGCCAAGAAATAAATATTTTCTAAATTCTGAAGTCTAGCCTACATTGTCAGCAACAATTCAATATTTCAGAGGCTAAATGTAAACCTGCAGGAAAAGAGAAATACAGCTCAGAAGTCCTCAAATGCTAGAGGCTATTATCTCCCAGCCCATGTGGTGGCAACAAACAAAGTAAAACCTAACAGCCTGTAAAAGGAAATCATAGCAGAATCAAATACATTTTAAAGAGAAGTAAACAACAGCATCTAATATCTTGAGGTAGGTGGTTCTACTTACTCAATTGCCACCAAGAAAGCCCATTTCTTATATTACTATTTGAAGTCAATGCTGCAAACAAGAGGGACTCTTAAGTGAACAGCTCCAAAATATTTAGACCCCCTCAATGTTGTTGAATCCTAACTATTGTTGTGTTTTTAATATGCATTTTGATAGGGTGTAATTCCAAGAAGATAGGTGAAAGCAGAAGCTTTAACATTATCTGCAATTCACAAAGATCTGCACTGTTGTCTGCCAGTTTAAAGCACTATTTATAGAGAGATTGGGGATATTTAAAACCTGAAAAGCTCATTTATATTGTAAGCCCTTTTTTCACTATAAAATATAATCCAGTGCTTACGAACATTGGGGGGGGGGGGGGGTTAAAATAACACAATTCTAAGGATAGCACTATGTGTGATATCCCAACCATATATTTTTATAAGATTTGACTCATTACCAATACTCATTACCAATACTCATTAATATTGCATCACAAAGAAGTAAAGCCGACTCCACAATACATAAACATGGCAGGCGACAGTAAAGAGGGCAGGTTATAGTTCACTATCTTAATTTCCTACCATACTGTGGAATGTTTTTAAAGTTTCTGGTTTGGGGGCTGGGTTTTTTTTTTTGTGGTTTCCCATGTGTATCCTGCATTCTTCATGGGAGCAGGTCTGTGCTTGTTAAATGCCGGTTGTGGTATTTGTATGCTATGCACCTACACCAGGGGAGACAAACTCAATTTCATTGAGAGCCGCATCAGGGTTGTGTTTGACCTTGGGGGGCGGGGCTGAGGGGGCATGGCACAAGTGGGCATGGCCAGCTTGACGTCACTTGTGTCGGGGGGTTGTGCCTGTGGTGGCCCCCAGCAAAAACAGGTTCCCAAGCTCTGTTTTTGGCTGCAATGGTCTCCTGCAACCCTCTGCCAGCGAAAATGGTGCTTGGGGGACTGCACACAGCCCTCGTGAGTTCCATTTTTTGCTGGAACAGCCTTCTGCAACCCTCTGCCAGTGAAAGCAAGCTTGTGGGGGGCATGCGTAGCCCTCCTGAGCTCCATTTTTCCTGGCAGAGGCACTGCAGGCTGGTCCTTTGCTATTTCCAGGTCGGCCCTGTGGGCCGGATCCAGCCCGCAGACCTTGAGTTTGACACCCCTGACCTACACAGTGCTGTGTAACAGTCCAGGTTCCTCTTCTAATATGCAGCATGGTCAGAGACAAAATTTGAAAGTCTTCAGTAATCCCACCTTAAATGCAGCTACTCTTGAGAAAAGGAGGTGCATATTGAGAACTTGATCAGTGATAACATTATACAGCTTTACTGGATTGTGTATATACAAGCCCCAATTCCTGTAGCATTTCAGCTAGTTTATTCTGCTGCAGTTGTCAGTTGCTATTTATTGAGAAAATGCATGAAGTTTCTTCTTTATACATCAGCCAATAACTTTGTAGTAAAAAATATACTGTCTTGCCATTCATCCTTCTTGCTTTCGGTGCTGCTCATCAAGATTTCCCTTTGATGAGGAGGTGCTGCTGCCAATGCCAGATGGTCCTATTTCTGAGCGAACTCGCTTTTGCTTAAGAGTTTACTGACTACAATACCAAATTAGCATAAGCAAATGTCAGCGAGTTAACAGAAAGCCAACATTCTTTCTCTCCCTTTTCTACCTTTTATTTCTCTTCCTCCCTCTATTATAGGCCATGGGGGTTGAGAGTGACCAAGAGATTGTGCAGATGATTGGAACAGAGGAGCATGTGATGGCTGCCTTTGGCCCCAGCTTGGAGGAATGCCAAAAAGCTCAGATTTTCACACAGATGCAGGTGTGTGATACTCAAGCATCCATCTATAGCGCATTTGTAATGAAACTGGGCCTTTTACCATTTTAGAAAACAGTGAGTAGCAAGAAGATGCACCAGTATATCTTTTACTTGTCACCCTTTTTTGCTTAATTAGATCAGGAGAGTAAGCCCATATCCAAGTAATAAAACTCTGGATTGCTCCACTAGATGGCTAATGAAGTTTATACTTTGTTCTAGAATAGTAACATATTAAAGTTGTATCATATAAGTGGTAGTAGGGAAAACATTTTAAAATATTGTACCAAAATTTGAAGGAGCACAGTACATAATTGCCAAAGCATTTGTCCCATCAAATTACTTTGATGGGTAGGACAAACCTAGCTCTTATATAGCATTTTGATCACAATGGGACTTTTAGCAAATTTACTGAAATATATCTGAAATGAAATCAGACAAGCAAAATAAAAGCAAATATTCTGGTGTTGCCTTATATTTCAGATTGCAATTTTTTAATATCAGAAAGAGCCAAATTAAAATGAGCCTTTTTAAACAGAAGCCATCTATTGCATAGCTAGAAAAAGAGGTGCTTACCCATTCAGTGTCATATAAGTGGTTGATATAGCTGATATATTTTCTTAGTTGTAAGGGATTAATTTGAAATAACAAAGAGTGTAACAGAGTAATTGACCCATTACCTGTTTAAAATAACCTTGTCCTGCTCTCTGATTTCGCTTTTAAGCCAATCATGTTCTGGTTTGTTGGCTTCCTTGTAAAATAAAATCTCAGTAAATACTGAACTTCTCCAACTGGAAGAAGTACATTGACAATGATTTGTGACAATAATGATGAGAATACTGATTTTCAGTACACAGTCTTTTCACTTTGCTTTGCAGGCATTGAAATATTTGGGAAATAAAGTCCGAAGGCAGCGAATGTGGGGAGGTCCAAAGAAAACCAAGATGGAGGAAGCAAGAGAGTTGTTGGCAACGACTATTCTTGCCCATGTGCCGGTAAGTGTTTGGGTCTTAAACTACCAGATGCTGTTCCTACTTTGCAGGAATAACTACAGAATCATAGATGAAATTGAATGCAGGAAAAACTGCTGCTCAATTTATTATTATTAGTTTCTGGTGATAGTTTATATATACAACCACTTATATGCTACCTTGCTTTATAAAATTCAACACAATATCAACTATTGTCAGGCATAAATAATAAGAAATAGGTGTTGAGTTCAAAGCACTGAAAGTTTATTCTTATCATCTCTACCCAAGACTCTGAGTAGCTAACAGTCCAAGCTAAATTGGCGATAAACGTAAATGGAATTCATGGGTGGGGGGGACTGGACCTTGGCCTCTTGTGGCTGCGCAATGACTCCAAACTCATACATTTAGCCCTGCCCTCCAGAACAGCCTGTTCACTCCTACATCTATAAATCAACACGGCAAAAAGTAATTAAAATAAATTTTATGTAATTTTAAGCAGGAGTAACATTTAAATTATATTAATTTTCCATTATTCATTCAATGTCAGTATTAATTGGTATCCTCATTTATAAATGCATGCAACAACCTTATTGCTTTACATGCCTATGCAGATGAATTTGTAGTCTATCCTGCAGAATAGATTATTGATCCTGGGTGAGACACAAGGCAGTCCTACTCAAAATGTTTGAGATTATATATATATATTTGCCCATTAAATAAAAACTATTTGCCCATTAAATAAAACAGTATTCTCCTTCCCATATTATATGCAGTAACCACTAAATTGTTATTTCCAGCAATAGCAATAAAACCATTCATTGGTTCATTGGAATGGTTTTACTTTAATGATACACTGATCTCATAGCTGAGCTCTTTTCCCTCTCTGTCTCTTGTGGCTTAGATATTTTGAATCCAGAATCAGCACTATGCTCTGCAAAACGTTAGATATATTGTACTGTAAAAAGATATAATTGGCCATATGTAATAACAGAGTTAAGCTAAGTTAGCCATAAGTTAATGATAAGGCAGTTATCTAGTTGGTAGTTTACATAACAATGAGTGTATTGCTCTGAGATGGCGTTTTCTCCAGTACTCTTATCTAGCTATGGATAATATTGAGAAGTAATATGGAGCTTTATCCAGAATAGTTGAAAGAGAGTTTCCAGACATGTTCTGTGTGCTGTCAGACCCATTCCCAGAAATCAGAAGCTCAGGCAAACTGGTACCAGAAAACATGATGAAGGTAGGTCATGACGGGAAAGGAAGAGAGAAGGCATTTAAAAAGAGATCAGCTACAATCAAAGTGGCATCCAAGCATTTGATGCATGGTGAATCAATTATGAAATCCAAGGCCTTTGTAGAGTGGAGACGCTGTAATGATAAATGCAGTTTATCCCAGTACTGTTCATTCCTTCAGTTTGCATGACCCTTTACTTATCATGCCCAAGAGGGTTAGAAACATCAAAGTGGAGACATTTCCATGCAAGGTACTGTCACTTAAGTTAACGTTCTTATTTTTGATATTTCAGGTAAAAGAATTCAACTTCCGCTCCAAGTGCATCTATACAGCTGTGATGGTCCGCAGGGTGATTCTAGCTCAGGGAGATAATAAAGTGGATGACAGAGATTATTATGGAAATAAGAGGCTGGAACTTGCAGGACAGGTAGGTGCACCTCGAAGCTTAGTAAAATTTGACTCCATTATATTGCCTAATGTGTCAGTCAAATGTACATAGTCATTTAATTTAAAATGTTAGTAATACAGTTGCGATAATTTCTTTATAATATCATTTTTATTAATTTCTAATATGACATATGAAGAGAATGCAAAAGTAAATATTAGGAAAATTAGGAAAGGAAAAAGTGGATAGTGGGGGAAAGTGAGAGGGGGGGAAGGCATTGACGTCTGACTCCTTTGGTGCAGTAAAATAAGGCATTAACACCTATCCTCAACTGTTTACTTTTTCTTAATATAAACTAGCCATTTCTATAACAACAAATCTATCTAATCGGTAAAACTCAAAATCAAAGTTTCATTTTTTCCACCTCAAGCACAAAGTCCAGAAGTGGTTTCCAAGTAGAAATGAAACTATTTATTTATTTATTTATTTAATCAAAACAGTCATAATCCTGAATTTAAGGTGATCCCTCTTCCCCAAAGTATGAACCCACACCTACAAATCCTACAGAGTCCAGTTTCCCCAATTTATCATTCTAAACTTTCAAATTCATTTGAAATAAATTCTAGATATTTTTCAAGTCGCTCTATTTGTGTGGGGGGGGGGGGGGGGGAGGAGGGGTTCCATGTTTTTGCATATATGTACACTGACAGAAGCCACAGGAAAAAAGAGAAAAATGAGCAGGGCTAGGATTTTAAAAAGAGGGAATGAATAACAACTGGTTGAAATTAATTCCCTATAAAACAAGGTGCCCTGTTATATTTGCATATTCAAACCATTCTCAAACACAGCATTTTTGTAACACATATAAACAAACTTCAGATTTCAGGAAGGAAGGAAAGAAGGAAGACACAATTTTGAGATTTTAATGAGAAGCCCTATGGAATTGACATTAATGAGGACAGCTTGCCTCATGTAGCACAATGAGGCAGGAGAGGGAAAAGCACTAACTGCCGTTGTTGTTGTTTCCCTGAGCGGAAGATACAGAAGGATATGCATGGAATCCCAGCATACACAAGAATCTCCATCCACAGACATCTGAAGGATTTTTCTAGAGTCTTCTGTTGGAGTGAGGCAGAAGCAGCTTTCTTCTTTTAAATAATATCTGCTTTTTAAAACAATACCTACCCTATTCTGGGAATATATGACACCTTTCCATTACACAGATAGGTAGTGCAATGCTCCTGCTCTTTTTAATATACTCTAAGATTTTTATTATCTCTTTTCCAGATGACTAATAGCCATAATTAAGTATGGACAGTTACTGCTATTGAGCCTGGTTTCACCCAGTCTATATGTGTACTTTTGGGGTGATGCTCATTTTCATTTCAAAGCTATTGAGCCAGCACTGTCCAAAGACATTTCTGTGGTCATGTGGCCAGCATGATGTCACAGAGTGTGGTTACCTTCCCGCCAAAATGGCACCTATTTATCGACTCATGTGCATGTTTTCAAATTGCTAGGTTGGCAGGAGCTAGGGCAAGAATGTGTTCACTCTGTGGCACGCAGGTCTAGAATCTGGGCCAAAGAAGACACATTTAATTTGGCTACTTCCCCCTTGCTCACAAATAGGGCATAGCCATAGAGTCCTAAAAATTGCCAATTCCTCCGGTGTGGAATGCAGAGATAGGTACTGCAATAGGATGTTTATCTAAGTGCAATAGGATGTTGATCCAAGTGCAGAGTGGAGAGAACCTTAGCATAACATATACTGAGGTGGCTCTGGAATTCAGCAGAAAAGAAATGACAAATATAAAAAGGACAAAACTGCCTTTCATATTCTTTAAGGGCAGGAGTGAGAGGAAGGACAACTCAAATGTGAGCAAGTGCACTTAAAAGTAAAAGTTTACACATATATTAATGTGGATAAAATTATATCTATTTCATGA